TGATTGATCTATTTTTACTCAATTGGATCATGGCTATTGGAAATTCTTTATATATGTTTTTGTTTTTCCGCTATGCATTACTTTATTTTGTTTAAAATCGATTTTAAACATGTCCAGAATTTCCAACAATGGTAACAGAGCCAATCTTGAGTAAATAGATTACGGGTTGAATTTTCGGTTGATTTATTGAAACACCCTAACTTTTAGACTAATATTTCTAGCAAATATTCGGCATATGATCCATTCGAAAATTCATGTTTTGCCCTTTTTTTATAATATGTACGTATTTATATATATATATATATATATATATATATATAGGGTATATTTCTTTTACAACCTTGTGCATTTGTACAACCTTTGCAACCCAATTAATTGAGATATTTATAGAAATGATTTGAGTTCATTTATTATGATTTGAATATTTATGGAATATGAATAGAGTTTATTAATTATGATTAATACTTTATATTAGGAAACAATTAATTGATTAAAAATTGAATGGTTGAGATGAGGGTTGTATAGGGTGTAGAAATGGCAAAGGGTGTAGAATAACATCCCTATATATATATATATATAATGATTTCCAAATAATTTTGTGAAAAAGCCACATAATGGGAAAAGTCTAAGTTTGTGCAACTAATTACAAAGATGATGATAACATAACTTCTACAAAAATACTAATCATCATCACACAAAAATATCGCACAACGTATCATCCACCACTATAAAGTCCTATCTTTCCTTACTCCTAGTATTACCTTCTGCACCCGGTTCTGGTCTGGAATACACGCCGAAAAGTAAAAATAAATCAGATTACACGTCTGGTGAATTCAATAGTTTACATCATAAAATATTTAATAAAAATTTAAGCCGTTTCATGAATTCAAATAATGCATAATTGGTAAAATACTAGTGATATGCAAGTTAATGATCGGTCGCTAAGTTCACCTTTATTTTGTCATCAATTATCCCTCATTAATGCGTTAAAATGGTAAAACCGAACTACATTGATGTGTTTTTGTATTTTGATAGGTTCGGAAAAGTTTGGAGAAAAAAAATGGACAAAAAAAGGATTTTTGACAGCTTTGCGAGTTCGAGCATATCTCACTCGGATTTAATTGATTCAAGATGATTAGAAAAGCCAACAAATGGCCCTACAACTTTAAAGTTTTGAGTTTCTGCAGATTTGGGCTATATCTATGCCGAAATTGACGAAATAAAGGGAAAACAAAAGTACAAGTCAGAATAGCATCCGTGTACAGTACCAGTCAGTGCAACTGGACTGGAACATTAAGAAAAATAAAAACAGAGGAAAAAGAAAGGCAATGAGATCGTATATATAAAAAGGAGGAGATTGCTATATAAAACGTGGGGTTTAAAAATAAGGAGTGAAAAAGAAAAAAAGAGGCAGAGGCTGGTCGTGAGAGTGGAGAATAGGCAGAAAATCACAAAGGGTTTTTGGGAGGAGGAGCATCAAAACACGTACGAGGAGGGGTGCGACTTTCTGATATGGTTAGAGATCGATAGATTCATCGGATGGCTCGATTTGCCAAACACATCAAAAACATAAGTTGTTGCTGCATTTATCAGTTTCAGTTTCGTGGTCAGAGTTTCGATTTCATTGATTTAAATACATATTATTATATATTGGGATTATATTTGGTGTTGCCACTTGAATTGTCTTGAATATTTTGTTTGTTCTAAAATGTTTGTTAGAATTATTAAATTTTGCTTTTGTATATTGTTGTCGGAAATGAAATAATGAAAAACCAAGAGAATATTCGATTTCCTGTAACAATTATGCAAGGCTAATCCGTTTCGAGGCCAACCCAATTCTGATTTGTTTCTATTACTTATATTTTGTATAAAATATATGGATATGTCGTTTAGGACAGAATATAACATGTTCTGTCGAGACTTAATGGTTAATTTATGGTATATTTATATGTGTTTAAATTAAACGTGTTTTAGTAACTGGTTGGCATAACTTGGATAGTCCATTGGTATCCCCTGACCGTATTGAACACAATAGTGTAGGTCAGAGGACGGTTGGTTTGGATAGATATATATTATGCTGAAAAGATGATGAAGATGGGAGTTCAGCTGAAACATCTTCAGAGATTAGAGTTAATGGAGAGCTCTTCATTTCTTTAAAATCCTTGATTAGATTTCTTTTCAGCTGTCGAGACTGCTCATGATTGAGCAGTATCCCATATAGAGTGTTGAGGGAAAGAGAGGACATGTCATTGGACATCTTCAGACACATGGCATAAGTATCCCAAGACTCAGGCAAACATTCCAGAAACTTCGTTAAAGTTTCAGAATTGGAATATTCCCTGCCTACAGTCCTTAGATCGATAAGAAGACAATTAAAATGTTGATATACTTCAGACAATGTTTCAGTCTTTCCACAGAAAAAGCTTTCGTATTGTCTTACTAAATTAATCTTCCTCAACTCTTGAACCTGAGTGGTTTCTTCATATTGAACACATAAAGTGTTCCACATGGCTTTCGAGGTTCTGAGTTTCATAACAAAATGGTAAACCTCATCGGGAAGAGGCATAGCTATTATAGACCTAGCACGAGTGTCTATAGTTATTTTCTTCTTGTCTTTATCGCTCCATTGATGAGTGAGCTTTGAAATCTGTCGTTCAGGAATCGCAGCAGTCGTAACTGTTTCAGTAACAGCCAGAGAAATAGCATATGGAACATATGATCTATTTTCTATATATTGTGGAATTTCAGGATCCACACCTTCCAGAAAGAGGGACATCTGATTTTTCCAAAGACTAAAGTTGTCTCGGATAAAACGGGTGGTTTGGCAAGAGAGTCATTGTCATGAAAGTGTGTGTGTGTTTTGTAAAGCCATTAGAAAGTAGTAAGATTATCTAAAGCAAGAGATAATATAATGCAGAAAAACAACTAAACAACAAGAGAAGAAATACACTGCTCTGATACCATTTGTTGGTCTCGTTAAAGTCTACAAGATATGTATAACAGTTTGTAGAAAGGGGGATGAATACAAACACAGTAAACTTTTCAAACTTAAAATATATATTGATAAAGAATGATCAATACAGATTTTACAAGATTGTTTGCAGGAAGATAAGGTAAAGATAACCTATCTAAACAATCTAAGTTACACACTAGTTCTTAACAAAGAGAAATGATTTGGTGTTTATGACTTAGAAGAAAGTAAGTTCTTTCTATGTAATAACTATTTAGAATACTTAAAAAGGGATTTTAACTTGCTTTTGAAGATAAGCCTATTGTGTTCTTTAGATGTGTGTTCTTTTATGTATGAACGTAATAGTTAAGATTCAAGAGTACCTCTGCATGGAGATAGAACACATCTATTTATACTCATTGTATTAAATGCACATTTAATGCAATGCAGTAGGGTATGAACACGCGTCAAGCCTTTAGAGAAAGACTTGTCCTTTGCTATAGTGAATAGTACAAAAGCCTATTCATGAGCAGACATCCTTTCATGGAGTTGGTGGGTAGTAGAGTCAACTAATCGGCTTCGTACCATACTATGCTCTAGAAAGGGTAAGGTTTTGTCCTTTGTGTGTGTAAGGACAAGACAAAAACAATCGTGCTTAACAAGCTTTTTTTGATCGCTGAATGCTGGAATAACCTGAAGGTCTCTTTAGCATTCGTTGAGGCTTGGACAGTCTTCACACATGTATAGACCAGGTTGTAATCACTGAATACCGCTTCAGATCACGAACTCGCCAGTCTCTAATCTTCAGTTTCAGTCTTCGACGTTCGCTGAAGGTTCTTTTATGTGAGTTTTGTCTTCTTGAAGTATCGCTGTCGTTGATGGATTTACATTACATGTTCTCAGCAATCACTAAACAGACTCAGTGATGATCACTGGAACTGAAAGACAGAAACATAAATGTTTCGTATAAGGTAAAGGGAATTATCATCAAATCACTGAAAGAGATAATCAACAGATGTCACAGACCACATAAACTAGTTCATTAAGATGTAGGATGTCTCACAACACTAGTTCATTAAGAGGTAAGATGTCTCATAACACTAGCCATTAAAAGGTTGGATGTCTCACAACACTAGCCAATTAAGTGGTAGGATGTCTCACGAAGCATGCTCAAAAAGAGGTATTCGCACAATCGCACAAAGCTTGTAAGAGATACCTATATGTCGCACAAAGCTTGTAAGACATACCTATATGTCGCACAAAGCTTGTAAGACATCACTTAATGAATCAGATGTAGTATATATCGTAGAGAACTATGAAAATTTCAGATCACTTAATATCCAGATGTAATCTCATATGTCAAGAACACAACATCAAACCAGCCTGATCATGATCTGTTTTTCAATAAAACTCCACAAAACTTGTTAATCATTTGAAGTTATGAATGAATTGTGATACAAACATATTTAATGAAAGATTTAACAACAAAATTTGGATCAAAATAACCAATTTTGATCGAATTAATCAAGAACATTCAAGAACGGTACGTATTCTCAAAAACTCAAAAACTTCAAATTGTTCAATCAAAACTTGATATTGTTAGAAAAGATGAGTTAAGATTAAACCTATAATGAAAAATGAATCAAATGAGTAACAAATTAGATCAAAATATCATAAACTCATATAGATTTAATCTCAAAATCGCCATTTTCATGTTATTGAAGAAAAACTTCAAAATTTTCTAATCTTTTGTCCAGATCTTCTTCAAATCTTCAATTTCTACTCTGATACCAATTATGAATCTCATATTTCATTCAAATAATAAATCTAATAACAAGATAAAAACATATAATAAGTTCAAGAAGGCGACTGAGCCACATATTACAATGAATAAACTAATTATATGCCTTTTAACTGAAAAATATCATTTAGTCTTCAAATAGCATTAAGCAAGCCATTTACACACTAGACTGGATATTTCTATATATATTAGCATATCATATAAGCAAAAGCATACCCTATATATATATCTCATCAAAAGAGGGAAAGGTGAGAAAAAACAAAGAGGCTACATATAATATAAATGTTCGCATACAAGATCCATTCTAGGCGTAGGCAGCCAAAAGAGACAATCACATTTCAATAACTACTACTATTTTTGGCCCCCTTCTTCCTATCAAAACAATATCCATCACACGCAATATTACCTACTAACATTAAAAAATGAACCCGAATGTTGAAAACAAAATATGCTCAAGGAGAGGAACAGTGTCTCATTCCAGCTTTATTCTGTCCATATCACCAATCACTGCTTCAAGCTGCAAAAACGTACATACAAATAGATCAAGATTGATACGTAAATGAAGCACCAATCATCGACTACTATTTTCAATACTACAGCTACTAAATGTTCAACAATCAGCTACATAATTTTCAAATGCAATGCTGGTATAAAATAGGCGTGTACTATATTGGAAAATATGTTTTACAGCATGCACATTAAATGCTTACTGCATCAGTAACTGTTTGCATCATCATCATCATGATGACGATGATGATAAGGTCAAGTAGTGCTCAAGAAAGACACGTATCATGAAAGATGCATATTACTCCCCCTACGGTTGATGTCGTTTCACTTGGGACATAGTTAATGAAATATGTGAAGATTGCTTGCAAAAAGTTCAAAGTATCCTTTAACAAAGACAAAACAAGGAATCTTGAACACAAATTAATGCCATCAATTCAATTTATATGTAACAATGAGAACAGGCAAATAAGTTTACTTTCCAAATAAGTTGTTGCAATCTTCATGGCTCACAACCCCCTTGTAAATCACATTTAGAAGAGCAAGAACAGAAAATGTTCTTAAAAATGTTGCAATTTCTGACAAACCTTAACAATTTGACGCAAAAAGTAATCGCCATATTGTTTGGGTGTCTTGGATTCAACCACACGAATTAAGTCCTGCAAAAAAATAGTAGTGATGGGTCAAAAACGATACAAGTGGAAAAAGAAGCACATCTAATATACACAATTTTTGCAAGCAACCTACTAAAATGCACATGTACTACTTGGTCTCAAAATTTCCTGAAAGCCTACACTCGACGGCATTTTATTTACGGAGAAAAGATATAGATTAGAGCACAACACCAATTTGCTGGAGTGGTGTCATCATCTCATTAAGACGTACGCTTTCGCTGCCTTCAATGTTGATTATAAACCAGAGAAAAACGAACTAGTGCAATAAGTCAAGGTTAACTCTCCTACCATATAATTAGACACTTTACCTATGTTCTCTATAGTTGTCATACTTTTACTCTATATTATGGCTCCTTCCAATTTCTAATTTGATATACGTATTTAATTTTGATGCAATGAAATTGTCAGTAATAATCATCAATTCAGCATATACAACTTTGTCATTCAAGGTTAGAAGAAAAACTAGTGATTGATTTAACTGTACTGTTGACGTATGGAATAGTTTAAACAATATATTTCAGAGATATGGCAAGCCAATATCATAGTACAACTAATGACAGAGATACCAGTTAACAGTTGTTCATGAGAATCCCATCTTGTGCCAATACACCTAAATCTCAAGGTTTTCCTACAAAACCTTGGGTGCAAGCCATATAAATCATGATATCAGCACCTAATTTGGTGCTTATGATCAACTATTTCAAGTGTTAAAAGCCTCTTTGCACATGCAATACTGTTGATGGAGATTCGTGTTCTTAAGAACTAGTTGTAGATGTTTATTGGCAGTAGGCAGAGTGGTAAAGAAACACTTGTGTTTCCAGTAAGAAACCTATGAAGAGTGCTGTAGAAGTTGGCAATCAAATGAGTGTTCTAGGAGAGAGCAGAGATTAATATAATACAAAAGTTGAATTGGAAGACACTAGAAATGCAAGAGACTTCTGCAAGAGAATACGACCGCCGATGGCAAATCTAATTCCAATTACAACCAATTGAGAACTTATATGGTTCCTTTTGACAACAGATGGATCCAAGCATGGTCAGTTTCTCTACTTTCACGCTTCTTTACAAGTTTCCATGAAGCATCAACTTAAGAGAAAATCTACGACAATCACCAGACCTTGCCACATTTGATTTTATTGAACATGTATGAGAGTCGATGCACAAAGAGCCAACTTTGATGACTATAACATCCCTGTAACCTGGGTTTCACAACCTGCTTATGTATATTTCAATATACTGTAGCATGTACAGAAGAACGATGGCAATGTCAAGTATACTAATGAAATGCTCATAACACAGAGCACCTTCAGTTTATATATTTTATCACCCAACTAATATTTGCTAAATTATAACGTCATATTGCTATTTCTAACAATCCTGATGGCCTGAGTTCCTATTGCTTAAAATGGAAGATGAGATGTATAACTTTGATAACCGCGAACGAAAAAATAGAACAAAAGGAAAGCACCGCCAATACAAGAAATCAGTTAAGAACAAAAAATATAACCTACATCATCAATGTAGAAATCGATATCAGCATTAGATATGGTTTTTCCATCAGCGCCAACAGAATGTGTTTTGTGCTTGTATGTCATCAAGATTGTCCTGTAAAAAGTACAATGAGTGAGACTGATCACAAGACACAAATTACATTAGAATGGGCGATAATCAGAAATCTAACCTTAAAGTGGATTCATCCACTTCCATGTACGTTGCAAGCTTCTCAAGAGAAATAGTTGAATAAACTTTCAAGAAGGTCCTCACAACTGACAGTTGTTGCTGCTGCTTTACCTCGTAAAGGAAAAGCTTTAACTGAAGCCTATATGCATCCTATAACATACAAATCCACAGCAAGAGTCAATCACATAAGAGACACTGAGAGCTCTTTCTAGGTTCAATACATGAATCAAACATATATATGGATAGATAGCAATTCATGGTACTCTAAAAGCAGCCACCTCCAACCCGTCCAAAAAAAATTAACCCCACATTGTTAAAGGATTGCTCCAACATGCAACAAAACTTGAAGCCAAAAAAAAAAAGGAACAAACAGAAAAGTTCCAAAGTGACAAACAGTAAGGGGCTGTTTGGTGCGGCAATTCAAAGAAATTCAAGGGAATTGGAATGACCAATTCCGTTGACCAAATTTCATTTCCTTCGTTTGGTTCACATATTGAAATGGATGGAATTCCTTCGAATTCTACAAATTGATGAATTCATCATTCCTTGGCATAAGTGACGGAATTGAATTCCACCCTTTGGATCCAATTAAACTTAACACCGCCTACCCCCTGGCCCCCACCATGACCATGCTACTATTGTCACTGTCACGCCCCCTAGCAACACCACCATTCTGTCGCCGTCACAACCACCACCCG